TATATTCACTAGTCTCTTTAATCTGATTTCATTCACCAATGCTGAAATATATACTTGATTTAGAAATCAAATGCTGCAAATAAAGCTGGTAGACATCTTCATTTCAAGGGCCACTGAACTCAGACCTTGGGTTTTCCTTTTTTCCCTATGTACACACTACTAGTAAGCTATGAATAAATTAGCAATTGGAGTGTAATGGCTGGAGCAACTTCATTAATATATTGTCATCCTGTGCACACGTGCAACTTCTGACCTTGAGGCTCTAGTGTCCTGTGAACTGTTGATGGCAATGTATACCTTCAAGTTCTCATCTTCAACATGACATACCAGCCACTGTCTTTGCAAAGCATACCGAAGCAGTACAGAGAAAAAGAAAGAAGAGAGGGCTATTTTCATAATGAATGAGTCTGCAAGAAATAAAAAAGTGTTGAAACCCTAGAAAAGAGAGAGTTACTCTGGAGTAATACCTTGATATTAATAGCACCTAATGCAATTTATTAGAAGAGATATGTTAAAATATCCAGCCCATGTCACAGCAGTTTTAATTAAAATATGGAACAGAAGTGAAATCATTTATCCAAATCCCCCTTTAAGAGTAGTGGATTTGGATAAAATAGTGCCCAGCATCGAAACATCCATTTCCATACCTACATATGCAGCATGGTCATTACAAATTGCAAGACTTAAGAATTCAAGATACTACTTAGAAAAGGACTTACTGGTTGCCACTGCTTAATGAGTCTGAACTGAATCCTAGAGTCAGCTTTTTCAAACTTTTCTCTCACAAATACATAGAAAAAAATCATTATCTTGAGGGGAGGGGAAAAGACAATTTTAATATAGAACCAGCAGTTTAGCAGTTTGGACATTAAAAAAACTACTGTCACAACACTTTACTCTGAACAATGGCAGTAGTAAACTCCCAAAGGAGAGGGGAGATCTCAATTGTCTGAAAGGCAGCAGAGAACATAAGCAGGCAGCATACACACACCTGCTGTGTAGTCTGGGGCAAAAATTCTACCCTGAAGAAAAGGCTGCCCTTATTTGCTCTAAGCTTCAGTTAGGGCAAGATTTTACCTCAAACATTTCATGAAGACAGAGACAGTATCACCTCTGTGTAACACTAGGATGGAGAGGTTCCTAGATCCAGGATGGTTTCTCCCATTTCATTTTTAATTTATCTTTCTCATTTGACTCCATCAGACTGTTCTCTGGAGCTGAGGAAAGTTTCACAAGATGGAGAGAGACTGAAAGCAACACAGAAATGATTAGGCACAATCAGAATTTAGCCTAGGACCGAGCATGATTCACTCTGAGTCAGGGAGGTATAAATCACTCCGCCCTACATAAAATATTTCAGATAGCAGCACATTATCTTCCCTCCAAATTTTTTCAGCTTGCAGTTGAAGTAAGGGCAGCTTAAGTTACACCCGTAGAGGAAACCCTGCCAACATGCAGGTGATAAATGTGACAAAAAAAATCTCTCCCAACACTGTCATCACCTCTTTTGTGAACTTTTTCTCAAAGGCCTCTAGCAAGGACGCACACAAGTATTCGCTTGTGCCTAACCCATAGAGAGGAGACAGAAGCCTAACTCAGGGAAGCAAACTGAACACCTGGACTCTGTGGAGTACTATTTCTCTGTGAACTGATATGAAATCATGCATATTGGAAAAAGTCACAGATTGAAAGCACAAGCTAGGGAACAAAATGCTAAGTAAATTCAAAACAAATGTAGGATGGCATTTGGTGAACCAGTATGTGACTTCCAAAGCATTTCAAGACATACAAGCTCCTCACAGCAAATGCTATGCCTGCATGCTGAATTTGTTGGTGCTTTGTTAGATCTGCTTACCACTAACTATTGCCACTTAGCTGCAAGCAAGCTAACTGCTCTGAGTCAGCTCATACGCTTAACATGAAGAATCTCTTGTTTTTTTGCTAAGCCTAAGAATCCTAAGCATCAAAAAATTTGCTCCCTTAACTCTCAACCAGTCAAAATCACAAAGTATTTTCCATCTATACAGATACAGCCATGAGACTCTGAACTTATTGAATGCAAGAATGACAATAGCTACTGAAAGAAATAAATCCTGCAGATTGAAGATAAACTAATTTTGGAAAAAAAAACAATGCAAGAATTTATGAATTTGATCAAATGTTACCGAGGACAATGAAAAAAATCCAAACAATGCTCTTTGCCACTGGTTTAAGCTACAAGCAAAGATGAGCTCTGAAACTCTCAAAATAACCCTTAAAATTCTTCAAGATTCTTCTTCTGTTGACAATGTCATCCCTACCTCCCACCATAACTTTATACATACACATACACAAATATTCATGTACGATCAATGCCATTAAACGCAGAAAAAAACAAGTCCCCTAAAACCGAGGACCTGTCACCAAGTGCCCATAGTCACTATCTGTCACAGCAACTCTTTTTGTAGTTACATCTGCTACAATTTTTTTTTTTCCTTTCTTTCCCAGCCCTGCCTGGCCAAGTCAGACCCACTGACCACTCAAAGTCTGAAAAAGAAAGTCAAGTGACTTTGTATTTGCTTTCTTTTAGTATTTTTTCCATTTGGAAAGCAAATATCATTCTTAAAACTCTACATCACACAGAGCAGCAGTTATTTGTAATAAGCTGGACTAGCCTGCTAGTGCTACTTGATGGGGTAGGAATTGTCTGTTGCTTTTTATCTTGAGGGGGAAAAAAATGATGGGGAAAGACATCAAGTGAGAAGAGAAAGAATAGCCAGGAAAGACATGAGTGAGAAAAATATATGCTTGTCTGAGCCTGATGTACCGGTGCTGAGAGATGCAGCACCACTGACAAAATACTGCTTATGTCAACTTAGCTCACATCATCTAAGGAACTGGTGTAGCAGCGCCAACAGGAAAAGTTTTGTTGGCATATGCTGCAGCTCTACAGGGAAAACCTGCCAACAGGGTTATGCAGAGGTAATTATATAGATGTGCCTTTGCTTTTCTTCAGCTCCTGAATCTACTAGCTCTCATCATCATCACTACTCCCTTCTCTATTACCTACAAACTGAAACCAGAAACAACAAAAGGGAACTATGACAAATTAAAATAAGTTTAAAGGAAGTTTTTGTTTGTTTTGAATCTCATTACTTGCTCCTTATTTTTGAAAGTACAAAATTAGATTTAGCAGCAATGCCCAGGCATCATGTAGCATTAATCTCCTAAAACCCCAGGAATAATTTGGCCTTTGGATAAGTACCTTGCACAACCAAACTAGGTACCTGTCCAACACAGCTGTGTGTACACAAGAGCAGCATTCTAGCAGCAGAATGGTAGGTAATGCAGTTGTTAACTTCTGGAACTTAATACCCCTTCTTCACACCCCTCACTTCTACTTAAACAAATTCAAGATGGACTGGAAGAGAGGAACACCATTGTGAAATGTTTCTGAAGCAGTGAGCAAGCTGGAACATCAAGTTTTGATTTATAAAAGTTCCTTAGTTCAGATCATAAGCTAAGATTTTACTTTCTAGTACTTCTCCAAACTACGCCCCTGGTGATGTAGGAATGCTGCAACATCTTACCAGGACAGTGAGAGCAGAGTGCTACCAAGCACCTACGGACATGGTCCTTGTTCCACTACTTGTCATAACAGCAAACCCTTGAGGAAGTGTTTGGTTTCTGCATTTTTTGTTTGAATATGCCAGCTACAATGTGTTTCAGTAAAGTTGACTGTAGGAGACTGTTGTCTGCACAGATGAAAGTAATACCTTAAAAAAAATTCACAGATTACATGAGAGGATAATTTCCAATTAATCTAGCATGGCCTCATTTTAGGCATGTAAGTCAATTAGTAACAAACTAACACCTGCCTTTTAAAATACATTCTGGCATCTAACAAAGCATAACCATCAAATCTAAAACAATACAATGATTTCTAAATTTTAAATCACTTTTTTCAGAAGTCATTCAAATATACATTTCAGGATGGTGAGTCAACAGCTACGAATTTTAGAACTTCAGATGCAGTAGTAAGCAAAAGTAGAAAAACAGTGCACTGCATGTGAGCCCTGCTAGATTTTCCTAGCAGGACATGTAGAACAGACTACCGCAGCTCTTTTGTTTATGAATTAATCCTTTTGCTGGTAATAGGACTAGCATTAAGAACAAATTCATATTGCACTTCTTCCAGATACAATACTATGTAGAATGGTTATTCTGAGAGTGACAGGAAAGACCTATTAATGCCTGTACTTATCTTAAGCACAGTGGGGTCATGCAGCTACATCCTGGCAGGCATTCTGGGCTAAGCACATTTACAGGAGTCAGAATACTGCTACAGGACAAAGTAGGCGAAGTCATTGTCGCGCTCCAATGACAGGGACAGGAAGACTAAAACACTTCGTATATGCATGTGAGGGTACCACAGGAAAATGGAAAGGTAAAATATTATTTCACCCTCTATATCAAAAATAGTCTAGTAGAAAGTACAGTGGTCTCACTTGTGGCACACAGCATGGCATAAAATGTGCTGGGAATGCTTTTTATATTGCACTGTAATATCTTTAAAAGAGCAGCAGAACTGAGAGCTGACATAGCACAGAAAGCAATTTAGTAGATTATGGTAGTGCTAAATTGGACCTCCAGAAAAGCATATGTGGAGATTCCAAAAATAATCTGACACTTTATCAAAAGTGGCAGGCACTGCCCTGGGTCATCGCCATAATGGTTAAGATGTAAACCATATATCACTGATAAAAGTGGATGATCAACTTGGAAATCAAAGCAGAAGGGAAAAGGTGCGGGGGCGGGGGGGGAAGTCAGACGAAAAGAGAGAGGACAGCACTAATTAGCATGCCATGCTGATGATGACCAGCTTCATGTGGGTATAGAATACTAATGCAGCTAGTATACAAAAAGGAGCAATTTGACCTATTATTCCTCTTAAAGCCCTGCTAAAGTCTACAACTTTTTTCAGTGTGCATATTACCAAACATATTATTATATTCAAGCACATGCAAGATGAGGTTTTCTCTTCCCCTTGCTACTTATCTCCTCAACCCTAACCCCTCAAGTACAACTATCCGCTCTCTTCTGAATCTTTTCCTTCACTGGGCAAAATGACAAATATTTTCCCTACTTTTCATTCTTTTAATTAAACTCAATTATCCACACTCACAGTGGGGGATGAAAATGGTAATGTGAGTTAATGACAATAGAAAAAGAAGAGCTTCGTATTTTGATAAACATCAACAGCATAGTGATTATGCTCAGTAAACAGTACTACAGAAATGCTCTCAGGAACGCAGAAGAATCCAGACATCATGATAATATTTCATCTCCAACCCAGGATGATAACGTCATAGTCATTACTTACACTAAACTTAAGGCAAACTGCTCTCAGTATCAGAGGTTCATGTTCCAACAGAGCGAGCGCAGAATTTTCTTCCCCTCCCTTCTGGGCAGGGCTCCACTTAATTTTCTGCGTGAGGAGGCTTCCAAACTTTTAACTTGAAAAACTGTGTCTGGCCTGCTCTATCAAGCAGTTAAGAGAATCCAGACCTGACAAATGGGCAATATGCAGCCATAGCAAATGTGGAGTTTTGTTTGTTTTTTAAGCCCCAATTGCTTTGTCCAAGGTTATAAAATCTGTACCTTTTTCTATCACTGCCCTCCTAACAAAGCCAGATTTCATTATTAACGGAGGGGAAAAGAGAGGACACAGTTTATGTGACCTAATCCTGTGCTGTATGTACTGGCTGATACTTCCTATGGACTGAATGGAAAAAGAATGAAGGGTAATGTGTGCACTCTGCAGAAAAACCTGACTTGGAAGCTAGAGTCTCCAGAGATTCTCATACAAGTTTGGCTGATGAATATTTCAGCAATCTTGCATTGTTTTTTAAAAGTTGCATTTGGGCATCATGTTCTACCACATGCAATTTTTGAGTATCTGATTTTTACTATTCTATTGATGAACTCATGCTGTGCAATGTAAAACCAACAAAACTTCTACAAGATTTCTGTGTATATTAGAAAGACCTGCAGGAACAGAGATTGCTAGGAACATACAAGCTGTGACAAGACAGGGAGGTTTAATCAGCAGAATCTTCAAACTAGAGCTGACTTCCAATAAACAGCAGCTAATCTGACCTGCTCTTACCCTGCCTATTCATACTATTACCTCAATGTGAGCAGCACAATATTGTCTAATCCATATCTGAGCATACAGAGATTGACCCCAGTGAGAGCCTTTTCACTTAATTCTCAGTAAGATGAAGAAAAACAAAACAAACAAACAAACAAGAAATGGTAAATTTGAGAGCTTGCTGAAGCCAGAACAGTTACAGCTTGCAGCTTGCCAATGGGCAACTGCACCTTTAAGGATGTCTGGCACAGAGACAGAGCAGGGTCCTCAGCCAAATGTCACACAAGCTTCTTTTATTTAGTTTGCTACTCATTGAGGGGGGAGGGAGGGCGAGGGCTGCAAATGTGGCAAACACAAAATGCAGTGTGAACACAAAATACAAATGCCTGAATTTCAACTAAATTCCCTAAATTCAGGGAACTCCTCCAGTGCTCTGTTACCCTCACTGTTAAGAAATTTTTCCTTAAGTTCAGGTGGAAATTTTGATCCTTCAGTTTCCGACCATTTCCTGTAGTTCTGCTGGTGGCCACCACTGAAAAGGGGCCAGCACCATCCTCCTCACTGCCTCCCTTGAGGTACATATAGACACTGATTAGCTGCCCTCTCAGCCTTCTCTTCTCCAGGCTGAACAGGCCCAGCTCCCTCAGCCTCTCCTCATAGGGCAGATGTTCCAGGCCCCTGATCATCCTTGTAGCCCTGCGCTGGACTCTCTCCAGTAGCTCCACATCCCTCTTGTACTGTGGAGCCCAGAACTGGACACAGTACTCCAGATGTGGCCTCACCAGGGCTGAGTAGGGGGGCAGGATCACCTCCCTCGACCTGCTGGAGATGCTCTTCTTAATGCAGCCCAGGATTCCATTGGCCTTCTTGGCCACGAGGGCACACTGCTGCCTCATGGTCAACTTATCATCCACCATGACACGCAGGTCTTTCTCTGCAGAGCTGCTCTCCAGAAGGTCGGTCCCCAGCCTGTACTGGTGTCTGGGGTTATTCCTCCCCAGGTGCAGGACCTTGCACTTGGCCTTGTTGAATTGCATGAGGTTTTTCACCGCCCAGTTGTCCAGTCTGTCCAGGTCCCTCTGGATGGCAGCGCAGCCCTGGCATTGTTATATTGAAGAATATAAAAAACATAAGGAAAAAGAAAGGTGCCTTCTGCAGTTAGGAGAAACTAATGGATCAACTCCATTTTCAGGAGCAGTGGCTGTAGTGAATCAAGACCCAAGGTTACTCTGAAAAATATACATGCATCCAGAGCAAATCTACTGACAGGGCAAGTGGGAATGCCAGATCAGAAACAGAGGCAAAGAAGCAAACAAGCAAGCCCTGCTAAAAAGCAGTACCAGATGATGCAAACCATTATTTTATCCCCTAAAAGGGCTGAAGATTAATCCTGAAAGAGTAACTAGGATTCAGATGACTGAAGTTTTTGAAAATTCCAACCAACTTGCTATAAATCATTTTGGCAAGCACTATGGTGTGAAACATCTATTACAGGTAATTGGTTTATTATCACTGAAATTTTATGAGTAAGTACCAGCATCAACATTTTTCAACCAGAGAACAGTTCAAAAAAGTAAACCTGAACAGAGTTCACCAAAGCAATTCACAGCAGTGAAGAAAAGCTTCGATTTTCAAGTTTGGCTATAGTAATATAACCCTATCCCCTATCTGCTCTTTTATCAAAGAAAAGCAGCTTTAATTTACTCAAGAGGCACTAATAAAACTCAGCATGAAAGGAAATCTGAGCACCTTGGGATTTTCAGAGATAGATGACCTAGGTTTGGGAAGCTGTCTTAATTGAGATGCTTCGATACATCATTTCCTCAATAAAATCTGATTAAGCTGAAGTTGCTCAACTTCAACAGAAAATAAACTCTCTACAGCATCTGGATACAGTTAGGCACAGTTCCGTAACAGAAAAAGCACTGGAACTGAACTTATTATAACCAACAGGCAGAACAGTATCTAGGAAGCATGTTTGGTAGTACTACTTCTTTTGCATGCAAGTTAAACAATAGCAAAGTTACTTCTGAGCAGCTCACCATTTTAATCACTGCTGTTCTCGCCCTAGTATTTTCTGTCCTGGTATTAAGAAGGCTTGGGTAACACATAGAATCACACAATCATTATGGTTGGAAAAGATCTTCAAGATCAAGTCCATGTTACTTCCCTCATGAAAATAGAGTTCATTACTTCATTTTGCAAAAATAGAAGTTAAATGGAGAGAAGGTAAGGGAGAACAGTCCAGGTTGTCTAGTGACTAATGACTAATGAATTTACAGTAGCGTGCTACTTTATCCATTGCATCAGACTGCTATGAATCTGTCGTAATATACAGCAAACCTGTTTTTCTTCTAGCATTTTGCTTGTTCAGTCTGCATCAGTCCCTCACCTTTTACACATCTCCATATCCCGAAAGCCAAGCTCCCTAGAACAGCTCATGCATGAAGCCTTGCTGCTTCTTTTGTGCTGTTCTTAATATGTGCAAGTGCCTTTTCTTTAAACTAGGGGAAAACTGAGGGGAAAACAGGTTCCTGTTGAGAGGACTTCGTTCCCATTCTGTTAAATACAAAGTATTCATCAACAACTTCACCTTTCTTCTTGCTGCTTTTCTTCAAGAGACATAACCATTTTAGTGCAAGCATTGCTAATGAAAGAGGTTTCAGCAGAGCACTGTTTTCTTTAGGCAGAACTCTTGGTAAATTTGTCAGTGTTCTAGTTACTTGCTGGAAACTGTTTTAGTATGGCGATTGCCCAGTGTGCAAAATTCAACCATCTATTTTTTCTATCTCCATCATCCACAGAAAAAAGTATACAATGACTCTAAACAGCAAAACATAATAAAATAAATGCTGGAAATCTTCATTTGTCTTACTTAAATTTTAGAGGATTACATTCTCAAGCACATTTCATCAACCAAGAAAAAAAAAAAAAAAAAAAACCACTTAGTTTTAAAAGCTATGTGATAGTATGATGCTTGCAGCCAGTCATTTAAAAACCCAATCAGAGGTTCCATAAGACTATCTGAAGTATTGGTAAGAGCATGGTCAAGTGATAACTAATTATTGCTTAATTTTATTCTGCTGGTGTCAGTGGTAATATTTTATTTTAATGCATTGCAAAAAGAAATAATTCCAGTTAAAAAAAAGCAGATCAGAGATTAGTTGTTAGTATAATCTGAAGTCTGCTGTTAACTCATTTGAATAGTATAGGAAGAACAGCAATTATATGTTTGAGACTGGTAAGGTTTGTTCTCAATATACAAGTCAAAACTGTATTTACCTCTCATTTCTATTTCCCATCTAATTTGAAAACATAAGGCCTTGTCATTAACCTATTTTTATCCTCCAGTTTTTGATCAGTGGAAAATCCTACGGCAAAAAGGTGTTTTTTTTATTATTATTATTATTTTTAAATAAGGCCTCCAAATATAACAGGGAAAATAATAATGTTTGGCTTTGGAAAACAAGAAAACAAAGCAAGTAACTTTGGGCTTAAACAAGGGCAAGAGGTAATACACTAGCCTGGAAGGACTGTTTACATTTAGAAAGGGAAGAGGTGATGTGCAGAAGGGGCTGCACCCCAGCATGCAGGTCACGAACTGCAGTCAAAGAACCAGGAATGCACTACAGAACTTGAGCAGATTAGCTTACTTCTCTAGTCCAGTATCTCCTTTTCGCTTTAGCCATTCTACATGCAAGTACTTACGCCACAAAGTAACTTGTTTTACTATTGATGTTCACTGAGCCAATGGGACCCAGCTTCAGCATGAGAACACAAGATGAATTGCAAGATACACCATGAACAGCAAAAGCCATCATTAGGAGACATTCTTTTCCAAAGCTCTACCAACAATTCCCATTCCTCCCAAGGACAAGGCACAGGAT